GTTAATTGGCATTTACAACTCTACGAACTGTAAAATAAATTAAAGTTTAGAACTATATAATGTAAATTGCATAAACAGAAGGTGGGTGGATCCAGATCAACAAATTCCAATTAAACTTATAGTTACCGCTCTGTTATTTTTGGGCAGTCATAGCCATGGTCAAAAACTAACCTTTAAAGGCTGTGGACAGTCTCGCCCCAAATAATCTTCCAAAGTTTCATCATTTTCTTCAAGGTCATCTCCACCAGTAAAAACTACAATCATATAGTCCGTAATTTTGCTTCCAAAGAAGTTTTGCAGGCTATCAAGCGCGGCCTCTTCTTCTTGTGAGAAGCGGGTCCTAACAGAGAACACCACAAGGATTGCATGGATACCACCCCCAGCCAACCTAAGACATTTCTTCATCAATTCCGATCCGGAAGAGAAATCAAACAGACCTGCAATTGGTATCATGTTAACAAAAGCCAATTAGCAAATAATTATCAAGATGTAAGTATAGACATTGTACAAATCAGTTGCACAAAGGATCATTCTATTTCTATAATTGAGGAAGCAAGTGTCACACGTGTAGTACTGAGAATTAGCAACTCAAATGAGTCTAATGGATCATACCGGGAGTGTCAATGACATTAATAATCTGACCATCTTTTAACACGGTTCTTTCAAGTTGACAAGCGGTTGTAACCCCTGAGGAGCTAGCTCTTGACTTGAAAGCTTTCCGTCCAAGGATACTGTTCCCTGTTGCACTTTTTCCATTGCCCGTCTTTCCAACTAAGACCACGGTCCAAGAAGGGTAAGTTAGCTCCCTATTATCAGACATTGCACTCTGACCCTTTATCAATTTGTTTTCCTACAAAATCCAAAACATTCCAGGAAAATTATAGAGAAATCCAAATGATCTTTTGCTTAGAATTGTAAATATAATTAAAAAAAAAAAAAAAAACACTATCTTTACCATGTTTGATGGTAAGGAAAAAAAAGAGGTTAAAGATGCTATTAAAACTAAGAAATTCAACACAACATTGAGCACAAAGCTTCAAGGAAAAAAAAAAAGAGTCAAAATTAAACCCAACTTGATCTTTCCAAAAAAAAGAAAAACCAGATAACATAAGAAAAGAAAGAATTTACGAAAAGGAGAATTGAAAGATAAACATAAACTTGATATTTCCCTGCATTTGATGGTGTTTAGTTTTGCTAAAGAAATAAAATCATAATCGATGATTCTAACCTGAAAATAAATATCTAAAGAACAAGATTTAAGGAGCAATCAATGTTTACTAGAGATGAAGAAAACAAAGAATTGAATTTATAGAAAACTTACCCTATGAGAAGATACGTGGATGATTAAGGGAAATAAGTAAAGAATCCTAGTAAAACCAAGGGAAGAAAACTTCCTAACTTGCAGTGGAAAAGATGATTAGTTGGAGTAAAGAGCGTAGATAAGAATATCAACTTTGTTGCTTTTTTAATTTAAGGACATGGACCTTTTCAATTTTTAAATAAGACTATCAACTTTTAATTTTTTTTTAGACAAAGATACCAACTTTACTAATTTTCTGTTTAATGATTTAGTGGATGGCAATGCTGATGTGGCTAACTGAAAGTTCTAACGTACGCTGACATGTTTAAAAGAAACCATGCATTGCTTATGTGGTTTGCTAACTGGATGCAACAGCCTCCATAAGGAAAGGTTAAATGGCATCTCGAGTGGGTTGTAGGCATCCACCACCAAATGTGACAATGGTCTCCAACAGCCTCTCTTCATGAGTTTTGGTCTTTCAATTACTTGATGCAGATTCCCCATTACTTGTTTCTGTGTTTAATACTCTTGAATCCTGTGGTCTCTAAATAACTTGACGCGAATTCCCATTACTTGTTTCTATGTTTAATACCCTTGAATCCTACCCCAAAGGCGCACTGCCTGCATTTTTTGATATCCCAAAAGTACCCCAAGCATCCCTCCTTAGTTCAACTGGTTCTTATTTACCTGAGTACTCAATTTCTGTGGTCAAAGGCCTACGGGGGGAAAGACTCTTGTAGCTTCCATTATCATTCTTTCCAAGTGAATGGCCTTGGGTGAAACTACTAAGCCCCTACTTTAAAGAACCACTTCCAAGGCCAACCACCTCACTAAGAAATGATTTTTTATCTTCTGATGGCATTTCAAAGTTTGAATTCCCAAATCCTTGAATTCGTTTATTAAGGTCTTCTGCAAGTGCTGGTTATTGTCCTCTAAGAATATATAGCAGAAATAGTCTTAAACTTAGAGCCTGCAAAATCCAAGAATACAAGTATAACATGTTTAAAAACTCTGAATTCCAGGTAAAATCTTTCCTACACGTTTATCCTCATAAAATATTAACCTATCATCGCAACATGTGTAAGTAGTTACTAGAATTTGAAGTTAATTGTCGAATGAATGTTAGTGCTTATTAGTCACTGGTCTGTTGTTTATTGTATACCCAGGTGAAAAGAACAAATTCCCTCCCTATGGGATCATCATAAAAAAGTGGTTAAAATATGCATTTAATCCCTTATCTTATTAAATTTGAAGGTTTTAGCCCCTCACATTATATTATAAAGTTTTTAAGTTTAAAACTTAAAAGTTTGAAGATTTTAGCCTATAAACTGATGGAATTAATTAACTCTCCGTTAAATAAGAATAAAATATTTATAAGATTAGTAGTCAAAAATTAAAAATGTAATAATTTAGTTCTAAAAATTTTAAAATTTAAAAAAATTAGTAAACTAAAAAGAATTAATGTATGACTTTCTCACATATTCTAGAATAGTTTAAATATCTATAATAAATCAAGCGATTAGTTCAGTTTGAAAAAAGAATTCTAATTGAAATTAGAAAAAATTTATAGATGAGTTAAGATAGAAAATCTAAAAAATTAGAAGAATACAACTAAAAAATTTTCTTTAATCTCAGTCATATTTCTTTCTTTAAATTGAACTAATCACTTGATTTAATTGTAAATATCTAATACTATTCTTGCATATATGACAAAAACATCCACTAATTATTTTTAATTTACTAATTTTTTTAATTTTTAAACTTTTAGAACTAAATTATTATACTTTTAATATTTGAGAATTCATCCTATAAATATTTTATTCTCACATTAACAGAGAGTTAACAAATTCCATTAATTTAGGGGTTAAAATCTTCAAACCTTTAAGTTCAAGGGCAAAAACTTCATGGTACAAGATGAGGGACTAAAAACTTTAAATTTATTAAGATAATAGGCTAAATGCATATTTTAACCTAAAAAAGTTATAGTAGTTGTTACAATCAAAGGAAATGTTAAATTAGATAAAGATCTTAAAAAATAATTGCTATACCATCTCATTCAACAAACTCATTTGTAGTTGTAAATTTTTTTGTCTTGAATTTAATTAAATTTGAAAAGGATAATTTCTTAATAAATATATTATGAAATGTGTTAAATCAGATGGTGTACGAATCATTGTTTAAAGATATTTTCAATTTCACTTGTAGAAGGCTAATTCACAATGACAAATTTTCAGAGGAAAAAACCATAAACCAAAAAGGATGGAATCATGCAACTCAAAATCTTCCTTCTACACAACTCAACTTTTGTAGGAAAGACATGCAGGAAAAAAGGGGAAAAAAGGAAATTTTTTAACTGTAAACTTTGAAATGCAAATTGGCCATGCAAAATTCCTAAACATATGTAAAGATGTATCCTCTCAAACTTGAAAGATGATATTGTTATTCTAATGAAACTAATAGAAGAAGAAGAAAAACAAATTTACCAACATCACTTAATTTTGTTTACAAAATCATTGCAAAATTATTGGTGAATAGATTGAAAGGTGTTTTACCTAGAATAATATCAAAGAATCAAGCTACTTTTGCTCCACCGAGAATGATTCAGATAACATTTTAGTTGCCCATGGAGCATTTCATTATTTGAGAAGGCAGAAGAAAGGAAAGGAGGGGAAGTTGGGATTAAAAGCGAATATGTACAAGGCCTTTGGCAGAATGGAGTGGGATTTTTTAGGGCTCTTTTGGTTAAGATGGGCTTTAGTGGTAAATGGATTTCCTGGATCATGGAGTGGATTACTATTGTCAAGTTCTCATTAATCATCAATGGTAAATAGATGGGAACTGTTGTTCCAGGTAGAGGTATAAGGCAAAGAGGTACCCTTTCTCCTTATCTGTTTTTGTTGGTGGCTAATGTGCTTTCAAAGATGATTAAGAAAGTTGCTAACCAGAAAAGAATAAAGGGTATCAAGTTGGCTAGAAGCTACCCTGTTCTTACTCATTTGTTTTTTGCAAATGATTCTTTATTCTTTATGCAAGCTAATATGAGAAATTGCCAGGGAATTGCTAAGATTTTTTAGGCCTATTGTAGAGCTTCTCGTCACTCGGTGAATTTTGAGAAATCTAATCGGTGTTTTAGTCCTATCACAGACAGCAGATTGAGAAGTGATAATAATTCAGCCTTCAATATTCCTAAAAATGATAATCCAGGGAAATATTTGGGCTACCTACTATTTGGGGTAGATCTAAATATGAAGCTCTAAAGTTTGTGGTTGAAAGCGTGATAAATAAAGTGAAGGGGTGGAAGCAGAATTTCTTATCACCCAGTGGCAAAGAGATTCTTACCTAATTAGAGCCTACTTCTGTGCCTGCATATCCTATGATGATTTTCAAGTTTCTAAAAAAAGACTTGTATCTAAATTAACTCAGTCATTGCTAGATTCTAGTGAGGGCAAGTTCAAGATGAGAGGAAAGTTCATTAGCAAAGCTAGGACAGTTCATTAGCAAAGCTAGGACAAACTTAAAATGAGTATATTTCAAGGTGGATTGTGGTTTAGAGGCATTGGAGATTAAAATGTAGCCTTGTTAGCCAAATAGTGTTGGAGACTTTTACAATATCCAGATGCTTATTAGGTGAGGATTTTAAAAGGAATATATTTTAGAGATGTTTCTTTTAATGGAAGCAAGGAAAGGCTGACATTCATCCTGGGCATGGAGTAGTTTAATTGCTAGTAGAAATTTGACAAAAGAAAATATTGCTCAGCATGTTGGTAATGGGGAAAGAATTAAGGTATAGGGAGATCAGTGGGTGCCTGGAATTGACAATATGAGAGTACGAAGTTGTAATGATACCCCTCGAAATGATTAGTTACTAGTTTCTGATCTAATTGATATAGAAGCTGCATGCTGAAACTTGGAGCCCATTGCAAGATAAGTCTCTCCTAATATAGTTGAAGCTATTAAAGCCATTCACATTCTTTCAGGTGAACAAGATGACACTATGGTAAGGCCTTGTAGTAAGAATGGGGAATATTCAATTAAAACTAGATATCATCTAGTACACTTAACAACTCTACATAATAATGGAAATATCTCTAGCTCCTCACATTTTATCTCAACTAATGCATGGAAAATTATATTTCTGCTACGTCAAAGGTTATTTCTTTCTTATGGAAGGCTTTCTCTAATATTCTACCAGTTATGAGCAATTTATTCAAGAAGAGGGTGGTTCAAAGACCTATCTGTCTTATATGCCATCAATATGAAGAAACTATGGAGCACTGCCTTTTTTATGTGATTGGGTACAAGGTGTGTGGTTTGGAGGACTTTTGAACTACAAAATTGATAGACAAAGTCTATCCACTATTGATGACTGGTTCCTGGTTGTTTGTGGGGATAAATCTTTGTGCACTGAGGTGAGAAGCTTCATTGCTTCTGTCTGTGCACATACATGTTGGGTGATTTAGAAATGTAGATGTGAAGAAGTCTATGAGAGAAAGGGGATTAGTGGTTTAGGAACTATTGAAAAGGTTTCTGGTTTGGCTATTGAAGCATAGAGAATTGTGAAAAAAGAGAAAAAGTGAAATAGATGAATTCCTTGAATAATAAGAGCTGGGAGCGACCAGAGTAGGGGTATGTGAAAATTAATCGTCATGGATCAATTAAACTACTTGATTTGGGAAGAGCTTTTGGGGTTGTGGTCAGAGATGGTGAAGGCATGCTAATATGTGGTGGTAATGGAATAGCATATGTTAATTCAACCCTTATGATGGAGTAGTTGCCTTATTAAAAGGAATAAAGCTAGCTATAAAGATGAATTATAGTTTAGCTGTGTTTGAATTTGATTCCAAAGACTAGTTCGATTTTATCCAAGATGATACTATTGAACTCCAAGTGATTTTGATGATAACAAAACCCTTTAAGATGTTTAATAAATCTGAGTTTAAGTGTGTAGTTAAAACAATCTCAAAATGCATCAAGGAAA